ACAGAAAGGGACTTGTTTTATGAACAATTACTGTTGGACCAGTAGACGCCAGCTAAATAAAAAAAAATATCGTGATTGTGACGAGAGGATTTTAAAAATTGATTATAAAAAGAGAAATATAAACGAATATTTAAAAGCAATATCACATAATTATATTATGCATTCTTAATATTAAAATTAAAAATTACATTTCAAATATATTATTTTGTATGAATTATTACCTACCTAAAAAAATACATATGGCGTTGAAACTGCCCGGCGTCGAAACGGCCGGCGTCGAAATGTCCTCGCCTCGAAACGGCCGCCTCGAAACGGCCGCGTCGAAACGGCTGCGTCGAAACGTCCTAGACCGTCATGACTGTCGTGTGCCACAAAATAATACGAACGACCATATCACCTCAATCGTGTAAGGACGCCTTAAACTTGGCTTCGTGGCCTTTAACTATGTAATAATTGGCATTATTATTTTTAAAATACAAAGAATTTAACAAAAATCCCAAAAATATCTAATATTTTTAATACCTATTAAATTAACACAACATATTTATTAAAACCAAACAATTAGAAATAGTTCATTGCACTAGTAAATTTAAGGACAAATCGTGCAAATAATCATTAAGTCGTTTCTTGGAAAATAATCACGTTAAGGTTGATATAAATAGAGAGTCAATCGTTGACACAGAAAAGACTCAAGGGGCGGCCGTTGAGCCAAACCTGTGCCCAAAAATGTATTAATATCTATTATATATAGTAAAGTGTGTTGTAGTGTTTCGTTTTCAAAGGTAATATCTATTTTATTTTAACATGGTTAAATCTCTTGTTTGGGTTATGTATTTTAAAACAGTTCATTAGTCTTTCTTCAAATGCCAATTCTTTCATTTTCGTCCCAAGTTTACTTATTAAATGTTTTTATCAGTTTTAAGGGTTTTATCATATAAAGAGTTTTTTTATATTAAAATGTTTTTGTGATGTAAAAGGTTTCTTTATATCAAAGTTTCATCATAGATTATATTATATTAGCATGGTTTATCATAACAAAGATTTACAATTGTGGGTAATAATTTTTGCTATGTCTTATTTCAAAAATAGAGATTGTTTTGATTTATTGAAATTTGTTATTCATTTTTTACTTATATTTAAATATACGTGTTATTGTTTATTAACCTATTTGCCAAAACCGCTCGACATATGCTATTAAGGGATGTTTTTTTTGTATTTTTATTATTTTCTTTTATTATTTTATTTTGCCACTGGCGAATGGATGTTCCTTCAGGACTCCAGGACCCTAGGGCTGGTGACAAGCGCTGCCTTTATCCCTTAATAGTATAGTAACAGTAGCTAAAGACCTATCAGTAGTTGTAAATGGTCTTTAGACATAACTGCTTGTTACATTTGGTGACGAGCGTTGGCCTTTAGGATTAACTGGTTGTTACAACTATGTATATGGGGGTTTATTTGGCAATTAAAACCTCTGAAGATTAAAGACACAATGTTTTCTCAAAACAAATATGGTATATATTTAACATAAGGATACAAAATAGGTCACAGCTCGACACACACACAAATATGGACTTAATGTAAAGTACACAAAATGTAAACTTACAAACTCCACTAATATTTAGGGCACATGTCACAGCTCTTGCCTAACCTTTAAAACTGCAATTCAAAATACAAGGGGGGCCTCCTATGGGGAGGATCCTTCCCTGTGAAAAAAACCGACATAGTTCATTAGTTTTTAACTTAATTGTTTTGCAACTATGAAATGCATTTTCTACGATTTAAAAGTATTTCGAAATCGACCTATTATTCAGAAATAATTTAACATACAGAATGTTAAATTATTTACTGAACCGAATGAAAATTATTTAATTTAATTAACGGAATAATTGTAACAACATCCGAAGTAAAACAGCAGAGAGAAAATTATTTTCAACGCTCTTGTTTTGATTTTGCTTCTGCTTATTAAGGAGACCGTTATTCTTGGTCCCGTTTTGTCCCTATTAGGACTCGTCTACAAGAAATAGACATTTTCAATTACAATGTATAAAGAAACCTGTTCGCAAAATTTATTTGTACACCTTGATATTATTTAGTTAAATTATGGTATCATAAAGTAGAGCCTTCTACAGTTTAGACTATACTTCATTAAAAATAATTGAATAATATGTTTATCAACAGTAGGGATAACCGACGTTTTGCATATTTTTGTCTACGATCACTATCCAAAGTAGGCTTCTGCACATTCAAATCTAACTGAAAAGTTGACGATTTCCATAAATTGTCATAGTTTGACATTATTGCGGCATATAGGCGCAAAGTTACTTATTGCACACGCCTATTTTCATTAGAAAATTTCATTAGAAAAATTGGTATTATAAAGCTAATCGGTATTTTAAAAGAAAATGTAGACTAATCTGAATCTTTTAGTTGAACATTTAATAGTGAAACTCATTTTCCTTAATATGTAAATGATAATTAAAATAATAAAAATAAAATACCCCGTTTTTAACACTCATATTTAACATGTCTTGTTGGTGTAGAGCCTAGCGCGTTTGTCTTTGAACCTGATGGTCGTGAGTTCAATCCTCACCAGTTATTATTTATTTTTTAAATTTGATTTTTTTGTTCGTAAAATTAAATAAAACTTAAAATAGTGTATAAGCCATTAATTTGCGATTTGAGTATTCTAACCGATGATCTGGTAAGTTATTTTTAAGTTGTAGGTACTTACTAATAAATATTTTTAATGCGTATCATAAAATTATTCCTAGAGTAAGCAGGCAACACAATATACACAACATACTTTTTGTTTGCTGGTCAAGTTAGCCATGTCTGTCAAATTAACTTAGTAAGATTTGAATTCGGCAAAATAAAACTATATAATTTTAATATCGTGCGATCGTAGAAAAAATCTTGTGTATAATTCGAGTGGAAAGCTATTTGCCACTAACGATAAAGTGCCGCACTCCGCTGCACGTCGCGCGGCAACTTTTTATCTTAAGGGCAAAGTATCACTTTCCACTCTTAATACACAAATAGCTATTAACAGATACTACCCTTATTTCCAGTTTAGCATTGAGCCAAAAAACAACGAACAATCAGTATCTTTTCTGGAGACTAGATTCATAATTAAAATTAGATACTAGTGAAAAGCTTGCAGCTTTGGCTGTTACTTAAACTACCTATCCTCCCATAAATTTTTCATGAGAGTAAACCTGATCACACAAATGAAAAACAGAATTCTGAAAATTTGAGACCCGTCCTTCCATAAAAAGAATCCAAGTTTCCTAAATAATATTTTTATTTAAACAATTCATTTCCTCATACATTAGTATACAGTGCTTCTCAAAAGACTGTTCTCCCTCTTTTCTTTTGGACGGTGATACTTTTGTAAACTTTTCTAGTAATGGTAACAGGTGACGTAATAATCATCGATAATAGTAAATGAGACCTTACAGCAGATAATACCTCGTTTCAAAGGTATTTAGAATACCCATTCACTCATACTAATTATTTTTGGATTTAAGCTGATTTTAATGGATAAAATAAACCATAACATTTGAGTAAGAAGAATCAAATAATTGTTCAAAATGTGCACCATCTACTTCCTGGCAGTAAAACATAGTATATTATTAAACTTTTGTCGGACTCGTTCAAATGTGTCAATAAAAATTGCCCTACATTTTTCAACAATTCGTTCTTGTAAAACGTCAATACTCTCAGGAGATGTAGCGTAAACCTTGTGTTTAAGGTATCCCCCAGAAAAAATCTAAAGGTGTTAGGTCCGGGGACCGAGCTGGCCATAAACGGCAATAAACGGTTTAATTGCATTTCCCAACATCTTCAGATATACTTCGCCGGTTAAGTTAGAATTCAAAAAATAGGCACGATTATGTGGTTTCCCAAAATACCTGCCCAGACATTTACTTTTAATGGAAACTGTGAATGTTTTTCATAAAACATGTGAGGATTTATGTGTCTCTTCAATATCTCATATTTTGAGTATTAACATTTTCACGTTCGTCACTAAAACAAATTTATGGGGGTATTTGAGGATATTGAAGATATTTAGTACCAACTTAATTTTTCAAAATAAATGTTATTCTCAAGATATAGTACGGTACCTACAGGGTTAATCAAATACCTGGATTAAGTAAAACATACAACAATATCGTTTTTTTTTAATACATGACTTTCTTAAGTGTTACTTTTACATAAATAATAATTAACAATGGGTGGGATTTGTTGAGGTAAATAGATAGATAAAGGTCATACCACACCTGCTAAGAATGATGTAGGTATTCTTGCACATATTATCTGTTCGTTTAATTAAAATTTATTTCGCTAATCAGATTTATTTCCATTTTTCTTTGTCACTTCGATATTTTGATAAGCGTTTAATAAACCGTAGCAGGAATTTATTTTGTTAATGCCTATATAGGTTAGGCTTTCCAACGTCTTGAGAATAAAAAATCCAATATGACCCACGATATATAATAAATAATTTTTTTACATTAACAAATTAAAAACTGCAAAAATTGTGATTTTAAGAGTGGATTAACATCAAAAATACTCTTTAGCGTGTGATTTTAAGAGTTAAGTGTTAAATATTAACTCTAATTACTTTTTATTGATATTGCTTCCAGTTTTCAGAATTTGTCTAATATCTAAATAAAAGCTAAACTTATATTAGTATTGACACACGAAAATATTGAACTATTCTTCGACTATTCCTCGTATACCAAACGACCTTGCATTAGGGCTTTCTTACGTTATTAATTACACCCGAAAAATTCGCAATAAAAATTCAACTAAGCGCCAGTAAGTCTTTCGGCCATAAATTTTCTTTATGATAATTATGTTTTTTAAGAACTGGTTTTATAACACCTAAACCGTATCATTATCTGTCACATAAAGTGGGGTTATGTATTTAAAACTACATTTTTTCTAAGTGATACATACTAAAGCAGCAGGTATACGTTTTTAATACTTTGTGATAAATGTTGGAATTTGCGAGCAATGTGGGGAACTCGGTCGCGATGGAAATTTCTACGGGATTCATAACAGGTCAGTATTACAGCAACCACTGGCATTGTCTCCATGAAATATACCTACCTAGTGACGTGGCGCAGATGTAACTGTTTTTTTTTTTGAGATTATCGATTACGAAGATAAAACGTGGATTATATATTAAAATATTTAGTAGATTGTCTGATTCAATAAAAAGGAATAAAGGTAGGAACCTACCAATCGAATAATTAAGCAAACTCTGTTAGAAGTGGTCAGTTCCATGTAATAATAATCTTAAAACGAAATTTCAATTAGTTACAACCTATCAGTGTCATCACTGAGGTCCCAACACGAGTGATTACAAATTGGTTGGGTGAAACGTCATCCACAAATATTGATTATATAGTGTGAATCCGCCATTGTGATCTGCATGTATGCCTTAGTTTTAGCGATGTATATATAATGATAATGACGTAGGTATGCTGATTTTAAAATGTTCCTGGACATTTTATTGCTTGTTATAGAAATTTGTTGCTTAATTATAAGATACAAAATATAAAATATCACTAAATGAACATGCTGCAGGTTAAATTACTCAAGAGGTTCGTCCAGCTAGTCGAGACCTAAAAAATTATATCTCGCTATCTAGAAAAATAGGTGGTTAGTTATATCTTGGCATATTCAGGGTCTTCAACAATATAGGCGATTTTCTAATATTTATCGATGCCATCTAGATTTCATCAAAACTGTTCTTTTATCAATTAAAAATTTTTAGATGAGTCATATTCATCATATTCATATATTCTTAAATATTCATCATATTCCTAAATTCAACCTAATTCTCAAATGGTTATCACCAAATCCATCAACTCGATTATGTTGATGCACTGATGGATCACGTGACATAACCTTAAATTATTAATTAATATTAAACAGATAAGGAAATAGGAATAGTTTACTCAAAATTCTTAATAATATGAATAAAGAAACTCAGGTTTTTTTTAACCAACCTATAAGTAAGCTAACTTTCAAAATAAGATTGTTAGCGTTAGATATACAGCAAATTTTTTAATCCCAAATATAATTACTGCTGCTTCTTTCTCAATTTGAGAATAACTTTGTTCCGCCGAATTTAAAACACGTGAAGCAAAGGCTATTGGTCTTTCAGAGACATCCTCAAAAATGTGACTAAGAGTAGCTTCTATAGCAAACTTAGATGCTATTATTTATTGTTTCGGCCTTTACTTGATGAAAATCCATTTTATCTTGAATGAGTAAAACCAAATTTGGTAGATTTTCACAAAACTTTTAGTTTAAAAAATAAAAATTAAAAAAAATTAAAAAAAATTAAAAAACACTATACATGACATGTTTCGAAGTACAACTTCTTTTTCCAATGTGACTAATTTACAATTCGGTATCCAATATATATGCGAAGTAATTTAACAAAACAAAGTAATTAAGAAAATATCAATAACATAACAAAATAAACTGACTAGTCAGTAGGTGAATTTACTTATATTTATTATTTATTCAATTAAATTTCCAATAAATTGGAAGAGCTTAACCTTAGTGACTTACAGATGGTAGGTCAATCCTATGATGGAGCTGCGGTGATGTCGGGTAATATAAATGATCTCCAAGCAAATAGCTAGACAAATATCCAACTGCAATTTACACGCACTGCTTAGCTTATTTACTTACTTGGCTGTGGTAGACTCAAAAATGTTCCATCAATATCGACTTTTTTTACTTTGGAAGCAATTTACAAACATTTCTCAGATCCACAGAACCATTCAAAATATCAACAAATACTACAAGACCTCAATATTGTCCCCAGAGAGTTGAAAAATCTGTCCGATACTCGTTGGGTATGTCGATATACGACTTGCCACGCAGTTAAAACATGTTTCGAGGAAATTGTCAATGCTTTGGAAAACGAAGTTATTAATAAAAATGATAATAAGTTAATCACAACAATCGGCATAGTATCCAGCATTAAACAACCTTCATTCATATAATTCATCTTTTTGTATTAGACGGGATACTAAATCTCTTAAATTTGTTATCGAAAAGCCTTCAGGAAAAAGGTGCGACTCTGGGGAAAGCAATTAACGTTAATAAAAGCATAATTAATTCACTAGGTGAAATGAGAAATGAAAAATACTCACGGAAAAAAAAATTCACTAACCGTTAGCGAACTTTAACTTACCGCAAATAAAAAGTTGTATACTATATGGGACAGGTAAAATGTTTGATTATAGTAAGTAAAACAAGATTTCTGAAATTAGTCATATGTGGTTAGTAAACAGTTTAATTAGTTTTTAGACGACCTACAGTTAGTGAACTATTCACTTATGGTTAGTGTACATTAGTTTCTTACTTTGTTTTAGTGGGTGGTATATATGTATTTATGATCCTGCATTATTTATAGGCTTTAAAACATTATTTATCATTAATATTATTATGTAGAAAGTATTAGATTTTATAAATCTTATTGTTACCTTAATAGGCTATAGGTACGAATGACATTTATAAAAATTTGAGTACTCAGGTGTTTTAAAATAATATCAACTTCTACAAAAATATGAATAGGGACAATATAAAGAGATTAAAAAATATCACAGTCAAAAATACACGATTGCCGTATCAAAAAATATATAAGGTACGTACATAATAATAATAATAATAATGACAAATAATAATTGCCGTCCTTACCCTGCACAAACTCTGTTTCTGGGGTTAAAATTCACTCGTAAAGGGGTGCATATGCATAGTATTATTATTATTATACTTAAAATGGCACAATTATTAATACACTCATGAACAAATATTGAATACTTTGATTTATACGTACACTTATCGCAAAAACCCTATACACTACATAGCATTCCGTGGAAAAGGTGTATGACCTCGACTTAAGCTGTGACCGTCCGGTAGGAAAGACAATACAAAAATGAAATAGGATTAATCGACTTAGTTCGTTGCTATTTCGGTGGTGAACGGAACTTACTGTATTAAAGCGTTCGCTAGCCGTAAGTGAATATTTTTTAACCATAAGTAAAAGTTAACTAATGATAAATATATGTGATTCTGTGGTTATTAAAGCAGTTTCAGAAACATTATTTATTTGTCGTAGGCAAAGTGGTGCTTAAGTTAAGTTAACTGTCTATTGGGGGTCATTAAAAAATTTTATTTTAGGAGACTTGTTTACTCGTGACAGAAATACGTGTTTACTTATAGTAATTGATTTATTTTTTGATATAGTTAATAAAATAACTATGGCAATTGTATTTTTTCAAGTAAATAATTTATATGGCCTTATTTTTTTCGTGTATACTTGACCTTCATCTAAAACTTTCAGATTTTGCTGAAAAATATCAAGTATCATTGGAAATTCCCTCATCAAAACGAAAAACACAAGTCAGTAGCAATCTCACTGATTTCGTCACCGAAACAACTATAAGACTAGATTTGATAGACGCTACAAGCTCTAGAGCTAATATCGGAGTAATTGAGTATTGGAGGGCAAACATTTTCTACCGAATTATTGATACTGTAAAAGGGTTTCTACACAAAAGGTTCTCATCTGAAAGTATGGTGCTTGCCAATTCTGTAGATATTTTTTTTTTCAATTAGATTTTGAGGGTTCAGCGGAATTAATTGATCAATACCGTGAAATTTTAAAGGGCAGAAATTACCGTTTTAAAAAACTGCATTCTTCAATTTAAAAAAACTGTTGATTATTATTCTATTAAAAACCACATAACAGAATTAGAAAAAAACATACCAAAACGTCTATCAACTTTTTAAAGTTGCGATTTTTCTACCTATTGCAAGTGGGACGTGCGAGAGGTCGTTTTCTGCCTTGAGGTGAAATTTTAATTGGTTGAAACGATCATGACAGATATTCAGATTTGTCTTTGTTGTTTTTTAATTTTTAATTAATTATTGTTAATTTTAGTATTAAGTTAGTATGATGTACTGATCATGAAAATGTGTAATTTATTTTTCGCGCAACCTTAAAATTGGGAATTTATTTGCTTGTTAGGTTGCCAAATTTATAAATAAATAGAAAAAGATGTTGATATCGACTTAGACAGTGTTGTAGATTCTTCCAGTCAATAGAGTAGAAAAGTTATTAAATGTATGTATTAGTTATATTGAAATAATAAAACCACTATTCACTATTATAGCGTATTTTTTATCATTCATTGCATCGCAATTTAAAACTATATACTTAGTGGCCCAAAAGTCTGGAAACAGCCAATTATCTCGTAAATGGCTAGTCCTAATTGTACAGAATTTGGGGTACACCTATTCTGGGATACGGAGATTTCAGAGTTGATATTTGCAATGTTGCCAGATTTGCCGTTTATCTTATATTATTAGTCACTTTGATTTTTCAAATTCATCACTCTGTATATTCAGTAATTATTGGAATCTCTCTATTCAATACGAGTTCAACCATATGTAACACTTATGATTTTATGTAGTCTGGAAGGTCTTAAATAAATAAAACAATCATGGTGAAATGTGGTAGACGCATTCTACCATCGATGAGGGTATTGTCAACTCACAAATGGTGCACATTTTGAACACTTGTTAAAGTAACCATTATGTTAAAAATGTTGCAATCTTTCAATTGTTACGTTTTAATGTAGTTGAAAATAATTTGTATTAAAAAATTTATTAAGACAATTAGGCGTTGCCAGACTTCTGTTTTATTTATTTAAGACCTTCTAGACTACATAAAATCATAAGTGTTACATATGGTTGAACTTGTATTGAATAGGAGATTCCAGTAATGACTAAATATATAGGGCGATGAATTTAAAAAACCAAAGTAAATAATAATATAAGAAAAACGGCAAATCTGGCAACACTGTAAATATCAAATCTGAAATCTCCGTATCCCAAAATAGGTGTACTTCAAATTTTGTACAATTAGGACAAGCAATTTACGAGATAATTGGCCGTTCCCAGACTTTTGGGCCACTCTGTATATTAATTCAACGTACACCTGGGGCCGCGGCCCCTCTTGAAAACTGAGGCTAGCTACGCCGATGTATACGAATACATACCCTTGTGGGTGGTAATCGTAAGTTTTTGAGATTCTTCTGTCAACAAAACTTGTCGATATGCCTCTGACAAGTTGATTTTTGAAAATGTTTCGCCATTTTGTAATTGAGCAAACAAATATTCTATGCGAGGTAGAGGAAAGTGCTGAATTACTAAATGAGGATTTAAAGTAATTTTAAAATCGCCACACAGCCTTATGGCTCCATTAGGTTTAAAAATTGGAATAATTGGCGTAGCACACTCTGTACACTCTGTAAACTGTGTGGGTACTAAAACTCCATTTGCAACTATTCTATCAATTTCATTTTCTATTTTTGGTTTGAGTGCAAAAGGAACCGGTCGTGGTTTACAAAATTTTGGCAAAGTACCTCCTTTCAATCTTATAGAAATTTTCATTTTGTTAAACGTCCCTAAAGTAGGTTCTTATACCTCTTTGTATTTTCCAAAAATATTCTTAGCTTAGCCGGAAAACTTACATTTTGGCCTACTAAATTATGCAATGAGTTAGTAAAATTTATTTTACAAATTCCTAGCCCTAACATTTTCAGCCCATTCCTACCAATAAGAGGTGGTCCACCATTTCTTATGACATAAGTTTTTAATACATAAGGTCGATTCTCAAATGTTATATTAAGATTTAAAAATCCTAAGGGTTCAAAAATCATACCTACATAATCTTTAAGAGATAAATCATTTTTTCCATATTTCTAAAATGTTTAATGTAAATTTTCTCAGAAATAGCTGAATGTGCAAAACCTGAGTCAGCTTCATAATTTAAGGGAATTCTTTCTACAATCAATTTTGCAAGTGCAGCTTTTGAACGCACAATCAGCCGCAATATGATTGCTTCTTTCGCACACCACACATTTCCTTATATACACCCCACAAGAATTATCGCATCACTCATTATTTTTTAAATATTTTAAATGTGTTGCCTGTTTTTCTAATTTTATTATTATTTAGAATTAAAACATCAATAGATACGACTTTTGCAACATTTATTTTATATCAGTTTAATCTACAGAGGACAAAAATTTTTATTTACCAAAACATTGAAAAATATCAAAAAAATTGTACAAAACATCTATACAAAAAAATTAACGTTGCTTAAACTAAAACCAGCCAATGAATTTCTAATAGCGTGTGTTGCCGCCCCTCGCTTTAATTACAGCTTCAATTCGTCTTGGAACGCTTCTAAACAGGTTCTGGACGTATCCTTGCGGCATGTTTTCCCAGAAGTTAAAAAGAACATTTTGAAGATCATCTAGTGTTCTTATTGGTGCCGGATGTTGCTGAATTTGCCATCCTAGATGGTCCCAGACATGTTCTATTGAGTTAAGGTCCGGGCTACGTGCAGGCCAATTCAGGGTGGGTATCTCGACCTCTTTTAAGTACTGCCGAACCACTCTAGCAGCTTGTGGACGAGCATTATCGTGCATTAGCACAGAGTTGTCACCGATATGGGGCATATATGGCACTACATGGGGATCTGAGATATTGGTTATGTACCTGTCAGTATTTATTCTTCCATAATTCAGTGGTACTAACTCCGTGCGACCCTTGAAAGAAATTCCTCCCCAAACCATGATAGAGCCACCACCAAAGCTTTCAGTTTGACAAAAATTAACCTGATCGTGCCGTTCACCACGTCGCCTATATACTGGTACACGCCTATCTGATGAATACAGACAAAATCTTGATTCATCCGTGAATAAAATATTGGACCAATCTTAAATATTCCAATTTAAGTTCAAAACGCATTTTTGTTTTTTCAAATATCTTAATTTTTACCAATGTTATAAAGAATTTAGTGTTTGAACATTTAACAAATTCAATTTTTCGACCTTCGTAGCCTCAAAATACTAAACAAATTTCAATCGTCCATACCGCGAGAACGGTGCATCGGATCAAAATTTCTCAAGAGACATAAAAATTAGCATTTTTCCTAAGCTTTCAAATGTCGTAAAATGTCGTAAACTGCGTTTTAAAAATATTGATTTATTTCCGACATGCGCCTGCGCAAAATTGAAAAATTGACAAAATACAACATTTCGGCACTTTCGAAAAACTGGTACATTTTGTTTTGCCTTTTTTCGAAAAGATCACCTCAAAATACATAGAATCCATTTTGTTTCATCTAATTACAATTTAATGTAAGCTCAAAACCCGTAATTTAATTCGATTATAAGATTTTAGCATAAAATGTGCAAGTAACTTGTGATGCAAATGAAATGATTACAAGTGTAGACGCTCAATGGCAAGATTTGGGGGTAATTTCTATCTTCTTGGAAACAGTGGATATGTCAATAATCCTCAAAACAGAAACAAAGAAATATTCAATGTTACCGACTCCAGGGAAAAGCTAAAAAAAGAGAGAATTGTTAGACAACTAAACAAAGACTACCTATTTTAGGATACAAAGTTAAAAAATCTTTGTCAAAAGTTGTTAAAAATTATTTGATGTTCTGTTTTACATAATATTAGCAAATACCTACGGGATTATTTCAAATGATTACATCAAATGAAATGGAAAATAGTGAAGGCAATAAAATTCATCAAAAAGGCACTGAAATACGTCAAATAATACTGGAGATACTGTTTGGTGATATTATTTAAAATATTACTCAAGTAAAATAATTTGTAAACCTTTTACTTAATGATTTTTTTTTTCAGTAAAATGCTATACCTAGTTTTTTAATGATTATAAAGTAATTATATGTTTTTATATCGTATTAAATTAAAAACAATAAACACCATATTACATAACGTTTATTACATAAATAATTTAAATAAAATAACTAGTTTCTGGTTTACTGCTATTCTATAAATTCTGTTTATTCCGAGAAAATGCCACTGCACTCTTCTTATCTCTCAGAATTAGTTTCTAGATCATAGTTTGTCATCTTTGTCAGTGTGTGGCTATTTAACAACTTATGACAGCATTCATACAGTCGCTGTCATGGCAACTTTGTTATATTTTGAAAAAATGACGTCAGACTATCACTATAAATTTCTTGTCAGACTTCAATGTATATTGCTTGAACAAGCAACCTGAAACAAAATGGCCTATCTTTTTTAATCTCATCTTCTAATTTGTTTTCTTTGACAAAATAATTCTCTAGTAATATTTTTATTCTATTATTTTTCTCTAAATTTTTTTATCTTCTTCACTTTTCCTACCTATTTTAAATGGCCTCTTCCTTTACTAGTTATAGTCGTATGATCTTACTAGAGATAGTGATCCAATTTGACTAAAACAAGCTACGCTGCCATTTTTAAAAAATGTATTACTTACACTTTGGGTTTCATTGTATTTATGTTTATTTAAATATTGCATTTTAAGGATTTAAATTATATTACAATGCTATGTTGTTTCTGTTTTTGCTAAAAAAATTACGTACAGCTAATCAAAATCTACGATAGCAATCTTACTATATTTCTACACACCCATAATGGTACCGTTTATCTATCAAGCAATTCCATCAACTAGTACCCATCT